TTAGACAACTGAGTCCTCACGGTACTTTGTTAGACAACTGAGTCCTCACGGTACTTTGTTAGACAATTGAGTCCTCACGGTGCTCTGTTAAACAACTGAGTCCTCACGGTGCTCTGTTAGACAATTGATTCCTCACGATGCTCTATTGGACGACTGAGTCCTCACGGTGCTCTGTTAAACAATTGAGTCCTCACGGTGCTCTGTTATACAATTGATTCCTCACGATGCTCTGTTGGACGACTGAGTCCTCACGATGCTCTGTTGGACGACTGGGTCATCACGATGCTTTGTTGGACGACTGAGCCTCCATGGTACTCTGATGAACGACTGAATCCTTGCAGTTCTCTGTTGGACGATTGAGTCCTCACGGTGCTCTGATGGACGACTGAGTAAACTAACAGACTCCCTGATGTTAGGGCTTTGTGGAACAAGGTGTGGTCACAAGTTTACCTATGTAAGACAGGTGAACTCAAACCAATCTTATAAAAAAAAGTTCATGTTTATCTTCGTCTTTCATGTGGTCAGGAATGTCAGTTTTAATTTCGCCTGGTTCTCTCAGTGTCCTCTGTACACATTATCTTATAGTTCCAAACTCCTTGATAAACGTGCTGTTCTCTATCACCACCTGTCTGGTTCTTTCCGTGTCCTGTGTACACGCTATCTTATAGTTCCAAACTCCTTGATAAACGTGCTGTTCTCTATCACCACCTGTCTGGTTCTTTCCGTGTCCTCTGTACACTCTATAATTACAAACTATTTGATAAACAAGCTGTTCTTTATCACCACCTGTATGGTTCTCTCAGTGTCCTCTGTACACGGTTTATCAAGGAGTTTGGAACTATAAGATAGTGTGTACAGAGGACACTGAGAGAACCAGACAGGTGGTGATAGAGAACAGCACGTTTATCAAGGAGTTTGGAACTATAAGATAGGTACTGTTCTATATCACCACCTGTCTGATTCTCTCAGTGTCCTCTGTACACACTATCTTATAGTTCCAAACTCCTTGATAAACGTGCTGTTCTCTATCAACACCTGTCTGGTTCTCTCAGTGTTCTCTCTACACGGTATCTTGTAGGCACAAGCTCTTTGAAAAACCTGCTATTCTCCGTCACCACCTCAGGTGTTTAGATTTAAACAGTTTGAAGGTCACGTACTTTCCTTGAAAACTAAGGTGCATTAGCAAGCAGAATAGAAGTACTGATATAGTATAATCACATAATAATAATAGTTTCTATTACCCATTACCTGCTTGTGGTTCTTAACATGATAAATGTATACACTTTTGTTTCCCGAAGGCATTTATAAAGTTTACCCATTATTTTTATTATCCTGGGTAATAACAAGGTAGTAAAAATTACTTTACATAATCACTAAGCAGTGACAGATTATTTTCGGTTATAACGTGCACTTAGAATTGAAGGTTTCGTTCACATATGTGCAATAAGAAATAATAGTCTTGAAAGAATAAAAAGAAAATTAACAACATAACAAGCTGACCTTTCAAATTATAAACACGCAGTTCTGAATTTTTACCATAAAATTGCTTATATTTTTCATTCAAGAATCCAGATATTTTACACACAGAACATAAAACCTTTAGCCGTGTTTCATTTTATTCATTCAAGAATCCAGATCTTGTACACACGAAACATGAAACCGTATAGCCGTGTTTCACTATATTCATTCAAGAATCCAGATCTTGTACACACGAAACATAAAACCTTATAGCCGTGTTTCATTTTATTCATTCAAGAATCCAGATCTTGTACACACGAAACATGGAACCGTATAGCCGTGTTTCACTATATTCATTCAAGAATCCAGATCTTGTACACACAGAACATAAAACCTTATAGCTGTGTTTCACTATATTCATTCAAGAATCCAGATCTTGTACAAACAGAACATGAAATCTTATAGTCGTTGTAATAGAATTTGATAAAAACACGCGGCCCGACAAGAGATCTTGGCAGTTGCTGCATATCCTCTTATGCTATTAAATGATTGTAAGTGTATGTATGATTACATATGTGTGTGTGTTTATATATACATATATAGTACTACAGACGGTGTTAAAACGATGACATTTTAAGCTATGACTATGTATCATTATTTTGCACAACGTCAGACAATTATGTAAAGGTAGAGACTGCCTGACAACAATAAATCAATGTGGTTATGTTAGTAAAGTCAGGAGTCATGTAAAGGTAGAGACTGCCTGACAACAATACATCCATGTGTTTATGTTAGTAACTTCAGGGGTCATGTAAAGGTAGAGACTGCCTGACAACAATAAATCAATTTGTTTATGTTAGTAAGGTCAGGGGTCATGTAAAGGTAGAGACTGCCTGATAACAATATATCCATGTAATGTGTGTGGTTGATTTTCTGTGTTATCCAGAAATATAAGTCTAATAAGATGAAAATAAGTGAATGGCCTGATGGACAGACAGACGTACGATTATATGTGCATATTTGTGTTAAGTAGAAAAACCTACGATTATATGTGCATATTTGTGTTAAGTAGAAAACCTACGATTATATGTGCATATTTGTGTTAAGTAGAAAAACCTACGATTATATGTGTATATTTGTGTTAAGTAGAAAACCTACGATTATATGTGTATATTTGTGTTAAGTAGAAAAACCTACGATTATATGTGTATATTTGTGTTAAGTAGAAAACCTACGATTATATGTGTATATTTGTGTTAAGTAGAAAAACCTACGATTATAAGTGCACATTTGTGTTAAGTAGAAAAACCTACGATTATATGTGCATATTTGTGTTAAGTAGAAAAACCTACGATTATATGTGCATATTTGTGTTAAGTAGAAAAACCTACGATTATATGTGCATATTTGTGTTAAGTAGAAACCTATGATTATATGTGTATATTTGTGCACAACCTGAGAATTAGTGTGATTTTTGTTTCCAAACTTTCGTTCCTACCCTCACAAGCTACTCAGGTGCCATTTCTCATGTTGGTAAGACTTGCTTGGCCTACTTCAACAAAATATATGAGTAATTTGTAGTAATTAAACATGCTACTTTTCTCATACATAGACGTTTCTTCTATTAACAAACAAATAATTGATCTTTGTCGCACCTACATTTCGAATTTCACAAATTTGGGTGATTAATAATAGTTTTAAGATACTATACGTAAAATTGTTTATTTAGATAATACTTTATTTATTTCCCTCTTGACAGGACACGAGTAGGGGACAGGACCTGTTGGACGTGGTATTCAAACATCTGAATTTGTTGGAAACAGCCTACTTTGGACTTCGTTTCGTCGACTCGTCAGGTCAAACAGTAGGTCCTGTTATAGCAAAAAAAATTCTAGATAGAAAAATTATTCGTAAATCTCAATTACACAAAGTAAGCTGGTAACATCTTATAATACCACAGTAAGCTGGTAACATCTTATAATACCACAGTAAGCTGGTAACATCTTATAACACCACAGTAAGCTGGTAACATCTTATAACACCACAGTAAGCTGGTAACATCTTATAACACCACAGTAAGCTGGTAACATCTTATAGCACCACAGTAAGCTGGTAATATCGTAAAACAACATTCACAATAACCTGGTAATGTCGTATAACACTACAGTAAGCTGATAACATCTTATAACACCACAGTAAGCTGGTAACATCTTATAATACCACATTAAACTGGTAGCATCTTATAACACCACAGTAAGCTGATAACATCTTATAACACCACAGTAAGCTGGTAGCATCTTATAGCACCACAGTAAGCTGGTAATATCGTAAAACAACATTCACAATAACCTGGTAATGTCGTATAACACTACACTAAGCTGATAATATCTTATAACACTACAGTAAGCTGATAACATCTTATAACACCACAGTAAGCTGGTAACATCTTATAACACCACAGTAAGCTGGTAACATCTTATAATACCACATTAAACTGGTAACATCTTATAACACCACAGTAAGCTGATAACATCTTATAACACCACAGTAAGCTAGTAATATCGTAAAACAACATTCACAGTAACCTGGTAATGTCGTGTAACACTACACTAAGCTGGTAACATCTTATAACACCATAGTAAGCTGGTAATATCGTAAAACAACATTCACAGTAACATGGTAATGTCGTATAACACTACACTAAGCTGATAACACCTTATAACACCACAGTAAGCTGGTAATATCGTAAAACAACATTCACAGTAACCTGGTAATGTCGTATAACATTACACTAAGCTGATAATATCTTATAACACTACACTAAGCTGATAATATCTTATAACACTACAATAAGTTGGTAATATCTTAACACTTTGTAGTAAGTTAGTAATTGGTGTCATATTATATATCAACTAGATTAAACATTACAACCTTCTGTATTCACTGTAGGTTTCTTGTCTGCCTGATGAGCTTTGAACGAAGGCCTTGTCGACAATGGCATATAAGAAACAAATGCAGTTGATATATAATTAAATACTTTTGTTACTGGAAAATCTTAATGGATCAGTAAAAAAATGTTTCAATTCAAATTATTATCAGTCTTACTGTCACGTATTATCCCACTCATTCCAAATGATAGACCACCGAATGATGTGGTATACATCATTGGACTTGACAGCAAATAAGGTCTATGACGTAATTTCATGAAATTGAGATCTTCTCGTGTTACGTTTATCACTTGGATATTTATTTCATCATTATGTGTATCTCACGTTCGTATCTTTTGTAATTACAATACGAAAGTTCGACGCATGCAGCATAAAATACATTTGCTTGGAATGTGGAAATTATATATAGTAGCATGTTTTAACCCCAAGGGTTAGTGGCCTTTCCAGCCCAATTGCCAACAACGCATACACATATATATCTCATGAGTGTTTAACGAGTGATTGATTTACATGTAAACCTGTTCGGCAACTGATAACCCAAAAAGGTTTTGACACAAGTCATTTTACTGTTGTTATCAAGTTTCGAAACATTCTGATTGATATAAATGCTGTATCATCTATTTAAACTGTATTCTGTCAAATGTTCGTTCCCACGCTAGCTAGGTGCGTGATAAGATCCATTATCTGATCTGACAGTCCAGCAGTATCTTGTCTCCGAGAGGAATTGTCCTTACTATGTGTCATAATGTGACAGAAATATAAGAAACCTTTCGTCATTAAAATGTGCTTGTTATGCGAAATTTAAACTGGGTGAATATACAGCCTAGGTGATCGTATTTTGATGGGTTTGGACCATCTTCTACTTGGTTTGTTCTACTGATACTGAACTTCCCAGCATCCAAAACTGGTAGCTTTCAGTTCCTGTGTAATGTGAACATTTCAACAACAAGACATGTGTCAAAAATATTCTTAATAACAGCAGAGTTGTTATTCCAGGAAACTCTAATACGTTCATACTTCTCACGTTCCTACTTGAAAGTCCTTTTTTGTTTAAACTAGAACGTATAGTTAGTTTCTTTATGCTGTATCATATGTAAAAGTGAGACACAAGCACAACAAATTTTGTAGTTGGCTGCACATGTGGCGCCATCTGACTTTCAAGCCAAATCAACGCGAATTAAATTTTCTCCGAGGATTGGATTGTAGAAATTGAATTTATTTCAACAATATGTTGTTGTTTTTATCAACAATTTGGTCTTTATGCACTGTTTAATATTGTAGCAAAGTGTCTGTAACGTTTCACTGATTAAACAGATAAAACTCATTAAGACGTATAGAAACTTATATAATAGTATGTAGTAATTTACAACCTTGATTGAAATCTTACCCCTTTTTGAGAAAATCGAACAATACTTGTTGTTATACGTCACATCTTCAGGTAAAGAATGTTTTTTTTTAAACCTTAAAGTCTAATTAACTTAAATTACAACTATAAACCTGACACGGTACAAATTTCTATTCATGAAACAACCCATAATTACGTTATTAACCTCGTACTCACGTTTCGAGCAACTTATTTCATCCTGGTTTATATCAAGAGTGAAAACTATGAAAAAAAAGGACGCAACAATTATTATGAACAAAGTGTGTCAAGGTGAAAAGGCTTCATTACTTGTAGCCGAGGTAGAATGTATAGCAGATTTGACTCGTTCTTTATTTTTTTGTCCTCTGCACAGAGAAGTATGTATATTTGTTGTTCAGAACTTTAAACAATCAAAGTAGGAGCTGTGACTTAAAAAAAGCTTCATCTCGTTTTATATAGAAAAACGGTTGAAAGTTTCTATTGATATTAGTAACATGTTTTTCGTAGTTCTAGGGTACAGCCCTTCCACTTGTTAACACGTATCTAATGACAATCAATCATTTTCAAATCGCTCACGTCTCACGTATGATGAGGAGACAAGTTGTCAACACTTAGATTAAACTGTAAAAAATTAATGAGATGTAAGAAATGCAATTCATCACAACTTTCGGTCACCACCGAAATCTAAATATATAGGGGGGATATGTCCGAGTTAAAAAATATCCTGCATCTTCAAAAAAGCTTTTATTATCAGACAACGCCTTCTATTTCTGGAGTAACATTTGGAATGTTTTCAGAGCTTTCACAGAAACGGCACGCATATAGAATGGAGATAATTAGAGCACAACGGCGCACAACGTATAGTTTCTTTGTTTGTTATGAATTTCGCGCAAAGCTACACGAGGGCTATCTGCGCTAGCCGTCCCTAATTTAGCA